CTTTTTTTTTTTTTTTTTTCCAACTGTTTTCTTGATCAGCTTTACCAGCCACAGGTTCCTCATGACAGTGAAATTCATATACTTGGATGTCCTACCTTTTTAGTGCATCTGCATTTGCACAGAAGTTTTAAAATTCCAGTAAATCAATGCTAAAGAATCCAGGTTATTAGAAAAACAAGTTAAAAACACTTATTTTTATTTTTTCTGCCCTCTCCATCTCCAAACCACCTTGTTCTCTCCATATCCAGGTCCCCAAGGCAGTCCTATGAGGAAGAGGACAGTGGACTGAGGGAAGCTGAGGTCAAGATGGAGCAGGTCCAGCTGGATCAGGAGAGCCCAGAAGAGGTCAACCAGGAGGAGAATGAGGAGCTGAGGCAGAAGCAGCTGGAGACGGAGGAGTATGGGCAGCTGTGTGAGGAAGAACATGGCCAAGAGCAGCAGCAGCAGCAGGAGGAGGAAGAGGAGGAGGAGCAGCTGCAGGAGGTCAGATCTGAAACAATGTAGTGCAGATGCATTTCAGTGTTAGGAAGTCCAGGAACGTAGGGTGTCATTTCCAGCCTTGCCTAGACTAGGGAAATATGAGCTGGTGTAACTGTTGATAAGGCACATGGGGGGAGGGCATCCTAATGCAGATGTGCTACACTAGGTCAATAAGGGACTATTATGTGATAACTTGTTCAAGGAAGTTACTGGGATGTGACATCACTGCAAACTGCCCTTCCCTAAGGTAGTACATCTACTGTGGTGGCATGCAGTAGAGTAGCTATACGTGTAAAAGCACTGGCTGCATATGATGCAAGTGTGGTACTATTTTCATTTTGGCTGGAACCCCAGCCCACCAAAATCAGCTGCTGCATATACCCATGAGCTAGTTTCCACTAAGATATCTACTGAGGAGGTAGTTCTTCCATATTGAATTATCTTTTCTCCTTGTGGGATGGCTACTTGGCTCTTAAGGGGTGATCTCTTCTTCTCCCTACACTCTGGAGAACCTTGGCCTGATCTATTTGTGCGTAGTTCCAGGTAAGGGGTGGTTTCTCGTAAACAAGGGAGACAATGTTGGAACTTGTTCTGGGTGGATACCTGTTTGCAATGTTTCATTTTTAAGTGCTGCTTGTTTACGATGGACTGTGATGCCATGCTTCATGGGATCCTTTATATTGGAAGGCTGGTATAGTTTTGTATCCCTCCCAAACAGATGCGATTCCTTCCTGCTACCAGCCTTGGAGTGAGGAATAAGTGTTTCTCCTTCATGAGTGTTGGGAGAAAATGCTTGCAAGGTCTCCTTGCCAGTTCACTTTGTGTGAACTTGCACCTGTAAAAATGCTGACTTTAAAAAAAAAAAACAAAAAAAAACCCCCAAAAAACAAAATCTGGGAAACTGATTTAGTTTTGTAGTACAGTGTGCGAATGCTCAAAGCATCTTTGTGTAAACTTTCACTTTACATGCTAGATTAGTAGGGAGAATAAATTTTTGTTGCAAGAATCATTTTAACCATCTCTCTGCATTCAGGATAAAAAGAGGAGGAGGAATGAAGAAGAAGACACTCCAGAGAAACGTCCAAAAGCCCCAAGCCCCTGCAATTTTGAAGAGGATGAAGAATGTTCTGGTCAATCTCCACCAAGTTCCACAAAGGTGTGTGCTGGGTGCAATCATGAGTGTATAAAATATGGACTATCATGTGTACTTAACATCATCCTTTTTCTCCCCATGCTTCGAGCTTCAGAAATGCAGAATATATTTTCTCAGTTTTTCTATAGCTTTCTTATATGACCGTGAGTCAGTCATGTAATTTCTCCACTTTAGTTTCTTTATCTACAAAATGGAGATACAGCAAACAGGATGGGAGAAAAGCAGTGTTTACTTATTGTAATCTCTTTGGCATAGGGAATGCCCTTAACTCTATATGTGTTCAGTTCCCTGGCAAAATAATGTCTTGTCCTGTCCTGGGTCCATAAAGAATGAAGTTTTTCTTTTATAGAAGATGATTGCAATTAAGTGGATAATCTCATTTATATAAATGGGTGGAAAATGGAGTTTCCATTCCATGAAAAACTCTAGCACTTTAACATTTGCTGTCATGCCAAATTGGAGCTGCGTCCATTTAGTGCAGTGGGGACGAGAATGGAACTGCTGAAAAAACTGTTTCAAGGTCCCTGAAACATGTAGTCCATTTTATTTTGACCTCGCTGTTAAAATAGTTGGAACAAAGTGAGTCAGTGTTTTTTTTTTATTATTACATTAAATTTTAATTCCCATATGAACCTAAAGA